GTAAATTAAAAAAGGCACGGACGAATATGTCTGTGGAAAAATGTATTTAAATATAAAAAAAAAAAAAAAAAAAAAAATACATAAACAAGGTAGCGACATCTAAATATCTTATAGACTAACATACATACGAAATCTAAATACAAATCTCAGGACAATTCATACAGCGCCATCTAGATCCAAGTTAAGCTAGCTAAAGCTTGTGTTATGGGTCCTAGACAACTGATACAAATACATAGATATATTTTTTTTTCGTAAATACATACATACCATATATAGAAAACAATCATACTCATGAATACAAATGTTTGTGCTGTGCGAGGAATCGAACCCGCGCCCGCGACCATCGGTCGTAAAGCGGTAGACTGGACCGCTAGACCACCGAGGTCGTCAATTCGTCTAATGAATGGATGAACAGAAAGAAATTGAAACTAGATAGTATGGATACAATTATTTAGATGGTATTCAATTTAAAATACCGGATGGAGGTGAATTCTCGATACAGTTCTGAACAATAAATCCACGGCAGGTTTACGGTGGAGTGCACGTTTTTATACTTGGTCAATAAATTACGTTTAACAGCCCTGTTTTATTTCATGCCTCCGGGATAAATAGGGTCTAAGTAACATGTTTGATTCGACCAAATTATTGAGTAAAATATAAAAAAAAAATCAAAATTCTAAATATTTTTATTCATGTAGGTCTATTACAGACTCTTATGATATGTCAAATCTACCGTCAGTTCGGAATGATTTAGAGATGAGAAGAACTGACAAGAAACTCGGCTCGTATTCTTTTCAAATAAATGTTGTACATGTTTACAATAATATAGATTCATTTTTAAATTCAAATTTGGGAGAATAGAGTGTCCACTAGCCTAAGGTATTGATAAAACAAATAGTCTAATCAGTGTTCATAACCCGAACAGACCAGTTCAGTTCCGTTCAGTTGTTCACGAATATGATAGATGAAAGTTATTTTATTATAAAACTAGCTACTCACCCTGGCTTCGCCCGGGTATTACACATATAAACCTTCCTCTTGAATCACTCTATCTATAAAAAAACCGGTTCAAAATCCGTTGCGTAGTTTTAAAGATTTAACCATACATAGGGACGGACAGACAGCGACAGCGACTTTATTTTATACTATGTAATGATAGCTTAGTTACACAACTAAGATATGTTATAAAAAACTTATATTTCAAAGTCACTCAAATTCAAAATATCTTTATTCATGTAGGTCTACTACAGACTCTTATATGTCAAATCTACCGTCAGTTCGGAATGATTTCGAGATGAGAACTGACATGAAACTCAGTTCGTATTCTTTGCAAATAAATACATAATACACAGTCATTAAAATTAAAATTTGGGAACTATAAAATTACATTTAATTATTAATATTTATTGGATAAACCACATACATTGTCATTCATCGTTGTTTGTTAAAATTGCAATCCAGTAAAAATGGTTTGTTCCAATATTTTTTCGCGCCAACCGACCATCCGTCATTTAGGAGTGACGTTTAAAAATGCGCGTTTCGATACACGCAGCAATTTACTTTGTTAAAACATGAATAACAAAATGTTTTTAGTGTTATTTATAGTCATAATTTATAACAATACAGTATAAGTAACTTTTTTATACTCTATTCTATCCAAATTTGAATTTAAATGAAATAGTATTATTGTAAATATGTACAACATTAAAAAAAATACGAGCTGAGTTTCTTGTCAGTTGTTCTCATCTCGAAATCATTCCGATCTGACGGTAGATTTGACATATCATAAGAGTCTGTAATAGACCTACATGAATAAAGATATTTTGAATTTATAGACCGATTGAATAACACATATACAAAATTTTAAGTCAATATTGAGCAGTGGTACATACCCAATGTTAGTTACTATACTCCTCCTAAACGGCTTCACCGATTTTTATGAAATTTTATAAGCATATTCAGTAGATCTGAGAATTGGCTACTATCTATTTTTCATACCTCTAAGTGATAAGGATCGCTTATAATACATATATGTTATCGCAAATCGCAATCGTTGTTGTGTCATACAAATTAAAATAACTATTACAAATGTAAGGGTGAAAATTATTGGTTGAATGTATTTTTTAACGCCACTTTATAAATAATATATTTTGTCCAAAAACTAATAAATAAATCTTAGGGGTCTGTCCAAAAACTAATAAATAACCCTTATCACTTATGGTTATGAAAAATATATAATAGCCGATTCTCAGACCTACTGAATTTGCATAAAAAATTTCATAAAAATCGGTCTAGCCGTTTAAGAGGAGTACAGTAACTAACATTGTGATACGAGAATTTGTATATCAGATATTAAGTACCAAACTAAGCAAAGCTCGTATATATGTAAGTTTTTTTTATTTTTTACTTGGTAAGTTTTTTTAAGACCTCTAGACTTATGTGTTATCGAATTAGCTGATAGTTTTAACTGTTTGTTCTTGTGATGAGTCTCCGTTCCGAATGAGTAGTACAATAAAAAAATATGATAGTTCAAAAGCTTGTATTGAGTTTATTTGAATAAAAATGAATTCTATTTCTTTCTCCCCTGTCCCTTTCTCTATCTCCGTGTAATATAGATCAATTACCGTCTAAGAATCTCGGCGTATAGCAGGCGAGGTGCTCTGTGCAAATCGATTCAAATTTAACTGCAGTAAGGGTAAACGGTAACGCAATTACGGTCACCGTCCGTACTACCAACGTAATTGTCGATCTTGGGGTGTACCAGTTAATTGGTTAACTGGCAGTTAGTCATATTAACTGTTGTCATAGATATAGATCTAGATATGATATGAAGACACAAGTTTTGTATATAATAATAGAAATAATATTGGAAGATAATTCACAGAGCTCCATCTAAACACAAGCTAAGCATATCTTGTGTTATGGGCACTAAACAACTGGTATAAATACATAGATATATTTTATTTGTTTTATATATAAATAATAAATATATATAGAAAATACACAGACTACTTATAAATACAAAAGTTTATATGACGACCTCGGTGGTCTAGCGGTCTAGCACACCGCTTTACGACCTATGGTCGCGGGTTCGATTCCTCGCACGGCGCAAACATTTGTATTCATGATTATAATTGTTTGTATCGGTCTGGGTGTTTTCTATATATAATATGTATGTATTTACAAAAAATATCTATGTACATGTATCAGTTATCTAGTACCCATAACACAAGCTTTAGCTAGCTTAAATTGGGTCTAGATGGCGCTGTGTGAATTGTCCTGAGATTATTATTATTATTATTATTATTATTATTATATATATTTATTATATCTCCCTTTTTACGGGGGTAATATATTCAAACACGCGGGCCTTAGCCAAGCGTGGATGAGTTATGTGATGAAGATAGAAATTTTCTGACTATTCGGCATGTGTTTAGTATGACGGCTTTTTGTAATAGGTCTATTGTAGAGGAGGGGATATGCAACGTGTCTACGTGTTTGTTCAGACTTTTTGGTATAACTCCTGTGGATGACAAAACTATAGGTACTATGTGGATGGTGTGTGCTTTCCATTGTTTTTTTAATTCTATTGCTAGATCTGTGTACTTTGTTAGTTTTTCATTGACTGTGCTTTGTATATTGTGTGTGTTTGTTTATTATTATTATTATATGGATCTCTGGTAGTCGCATCCAATGGTCATAAATCAAATGATGTTAACTTACATTTAATTTAATAATAAAATACTGCATCTTTTGTCCCTAACTAACTATAAAGTTAAAAGGTGACATCATTCGACGTTAGAACAAAATGTACCCCATAAGTAACTCAAACCACAGTTACCATAAGAATACAGTCAGCGTTTTTCAGATTTAATATAAAATTAACAATATTCAATTAAAACTGTCCAACTATTATATTGAAATTGTGACATTGCGGCGTCGTTTATTCTTCGGCGCGTGTTTGATCTTCATCACTTTTCTATAGGGCTCTGCACATGTAACAACCCGAACCAGCGACTACCGAAAGTAAGTTCACCAACTTGCTAAGCCGTTAGACCATCGAAGCTAATGTTAGTCTATAGGTGTGTTTTAATTTTAACCGTCCATGGAAGTGAACCCGCGGCTATCGAAAGTAAATCGGTGTGCTAAGCTATTAGGTTACCGAGGCCAATGTACAAAATGTCACAAAATCTTGGACCCTAATCTAAGTGGAAGGGTCCTAGATTTCACAACTTTTTGACCCTCCAACTCTCATCTTATCATCCTCCACTGATGCCCCGCCAGCGTAAACCGTTAGCGCAGGCGGGTGCACCATTCCATTATCATCCACAAAAAAAAACCCTCCAACTCCTTGTATCAATGTCACACTTCGCCATGCTATAAGGTGTTCTGAAATTTATAGATCTTTATGTGAAACAACTAATCAACTAGTAAAATTCTCATGTTCATCTTATCATCCTTCAGTAGCGCCTCATCAGCGTTACCGTTAGCGCAGACGGGTCTGTCATATTACAGTTTTGAGTAGTCATGCTCATTGAATTGTCCAGACATGTGGCGGCGTGGTGACCCAGGTCATTGGGCTCCCTAAAATATGGTCGAGCGCAGTGATGGCTGGCTCATCCGTCAAACTCGTGAACGTGTGCTGCTTGTAGGGACTGGTCTGCTCTAATCACTATGACTGATTTCCTTTTATTAATTGTTTAACCAGTTGGTTGTATATTCAATATTTGATTATTTAATTGAATTAGTGCTAATCGGTAGTTTGCATTCACACACTTAAACTTAAAAATGTAAAGTAAGAATAAAATTATTTAAAAGAGCAACACGCAAATTTCTTGCTCGTTCTTCTTGTGATGAAACAGCTTTCAGAATGAGCGGTAGATTAAAAAAATGTGATGACTATTCAAAAGTGCTTCAATGTAAGTTTATTTGAATAAATGATTATTTATTCTATTCTATTCATATTTAAAAAAGAACTATTTACTTTCAAACAAACTGACCTTATAGCCATGCTCTTCGCCTTCAAATGGTGCCATCTCTGATTCATCTCGTCCAGCCTCCGCTGCAGCATGACGGCGTCCTCCTGCGACGAGAGGGAGCCGAGCAGCCTCCGCCCCGTGCCGGTGAGTGACGCGTACACATCTCGGTGGGTCTCGATCTCCGATTGCAAATCCTGAGAACAAACAAAATTTATATAATTAATAACATTTCATACATTTAAGGCTGCTTGTCTACATATGAATGTGGATGGTTATAAGGCAAGAGGAAGACCGAAAAAGAGATGAATGGATGGCTTATATAATGTTATATTATAAGACAAACAATATTAATCTATTCTCAATTTGACCACATACTTTGACAATAAACGAAAGAGTGTGTCAAATACATAGCAGTGTGGAATGTCTTTTTTATTAATTTAATGTATTTTTAATGCAGAAATATTAGAATTATGCAATTGTTTTTTATATAAACTATAAGTCTGCGAAATTTCATACTCATCCGTCCGCAATTTTGGTAATAAGGTGTACAAAAGTTTTTGCGTGCGTTTGCGTACTAAATACGTGAATATTTTTATATAGATAACATGTCTCAATCGAAATATAGCTTAAAAAAGTAAGAAACGAATCTTCGTCTTCTTTCGCCTCAATGGTGAACCTAAACATGTTTAGACCAGAACCGGTCGTCTGTTCTGGTTTTCTTTTTTTAATAATAATCTCAGGACAATTCACATAGCGCCATCTAGACATAGAAAATACCCAGACCCATTCAAACAATCATATTTGTGAATACAAATGTTTGTGCCGCATCAGGAATCGAACCCGTGACTATTTAATAATAATAATCTCAGGACATTTCACATAGCGCTACTAAACACAGAAAATACTCAGACCGATACTGATGAATACAAATGTATGACCGATACTGATGAATACAAATGTATGTGCCTTGTGAGGAATCGAACCCGCGACTATCGGAAATAAAGCGGTATGCTTAACCGCTAGATCACCGAGGCCAAAATAGGGAGTATAATAATAATAATAATCTCAGGATAATTCACACAGCGCCATTTAGACCCAAGTTAAGCTAGTTAAAGCTGATACATATACATAGATATTTTTTTTGTAAATACATACATATTATACATAGAAAACACCCAGACCGATACAAACAATCATACTCATGAACACAATTGTTTGTGCCGCGCGAGGAATCGAACCCGCAACCATCGGTCGTAAAGCGGTTTACTAGACCGCTAGACCACCGAGGTCGAGTATAAATACTTCTTTTGGCTAAAATAGGTAAATAAACCAATGTTTTCAATCTCTACGCTTCAAACAAGGGCAAAATACTGCAGCACAGTATATATATCGCATGGTATGGTTTTGAGTTTTCTTTGCGAAAATGGACGCGGGCCCCGCGAACTTCTGTTTGGCTGACATAAGTGGCCAATTTGTTACCGCGGCCCTCAGCCCGCAGCCCCCGGGCGCCGGGCGCTGTAACAAATGTCCGCACTTTCAACTTTCAAAAACGCTCCTTCATATGGACGTTGAATGTTGAGACTTGTCATTGAATCAATAGATAGTTAAATAGTTTTATTTTAATTTGCTGTGGCCGCGACTTAGTCCGCGTGGAATAGTGATCTTGGATAGAACTTTTAATTATTTAGGCTAATTATTAAAAAGCAAAAAGAAATAAGTTTTTAAGCTTCTAAGTTTAAAGATTTTTTAAATTGACGATACTTCCATCAACGTTTCAGTCTCCCCTTTCAACCCCTTACAACCCGTTTTCACATTAAACAGTAGCCTACGACCTTTTTCAGGGTCTAAACTATCTGTGTAGCAAATTTAATTTGAATCGGTTGAGTAGTTTTGGCGTGAAAGCGCACCAGACAGATAGAGTTATTTACTCGTTTCAAATTAAAAAATCATTTATTCATGTAGGACATTTTATCCGCTTATAAACGTCTAGTTTTTTACATTATAATTATCATTTTTCTTCCTACCGTCATTTATATTATTAGGAAGGATATGTTAGACATATACACTACTAGCTTTTGCTGCGGCTTCGCTCGCGTTAATTTATCCCCTTAGGGGTGGAATAGTAGATTTATGCACGCAAAGTCTCAGCCCAATCGGTTTAAAATTGACAAAGTTTCATACAAACTTTCATCCCCTATTTAACCCCTTGGGAGTAGTATTAATCAAAATCCTTTTTTAGCGGATGCTTACGTCATAACATTTACCTGCACGCCAAATTTCAGCCCGATCCGTCCAGTGGTTTGGGCTGTGCGTTAATAGATCACTATGTCAGTCACCTTTGAGTTATATATATTTTGATATATGAGTAATATCATAATTTGTAAGTTGATAATCTATAATACAGAATAGCAGCTCGTAATATTTGAATAGAATACGAGCCGAGTTTCTTGTCAGTTCTTCTCATCTCGAAATCATTCCGAACTGACAGTAGATTTGACATATCATAAGAGTCTGTAATAGATCTACATGCATAAAGATATTTTGAATTTGAGTTTGAAAAGCATGTGGATATTAAAATCTACGTGTATTGAACAGACGGGCAACTTTTTGCGTCGACTATAGCAGTACATTGGGGTCCTAACGAAGACAAATGGGGTCATATCTATCAGACCCAGGGTCCTTTGTAGATTTGCAAGCCGGACATGGAAAATGTATGGCAGTGAGTAGTGACCGAGGCAGTAGTATAGCTTCGGACGGATATCTATTGAAATTTGGATCGTAAGGTATTATATTTCACTGTCTCAAGGGCTGTGCAGACGAGAGACTTTGTCCAAAAATATTTAACATATAAAAGTTTATGGAAGTTAACGATTAATAAAAATTGGATGTTTAAGTAATTTTTGCGGGAAAAATGGCTATACTAGGATCATATAAATTGTATGTTTAAGCACTTTTAAAGAAAAAAGAACGGCTATACTAATTGTTGTTAAAGAAAAGAAAGAAAGATGAATATTACTATTAATACTAAAACTTTTGTCCAACAAAATCGAAGCTGAAATAATGAGTGATGAAGACTGATGTAATTCGTCTTTACATCAGTCTTCATCATTCATCAGTCTTAACAACAATTAGTATAGTCGTTTAAGCATTTTTAGAGAAAAAAGAACAACTATACTAGTTGTTGTTAAGGAAAAGGATAAATATTACAACTAATATTGAAACCTTTTCTTCAATAAAATTGAAGCTGTTATCTTTCATATACGTGTTTATGAAAGATAAACAGTGATGTAAATTATGTTTAATCATTTTTTGAGATAAAAGAACAACTCCACTAGTTGTTACTAAAGAAAAGGAAGAAAGAAAGATATTACAACGATTTGACCCGGCATACGTTGTTTTGCCATATAAATTAATCTAATATCGAGCTTCCGGAATAGAAAATTATTAAAGTACAAATTGCTATTAAAAAATATGGGTTGATGGTAGAGAGGTTTTTTTTTCGGAATAACCTAATACTGTTGGCCACAGCCGGCCTTTACAGCTTCACCGGAAGATAGTAGGAGAGTACAGATGGCACTCCAAACCCGCGGAAGGACTTATGGAGCGGCTGAAGACCAACTCCCGCCTGACGGATACGACTTTAGTCTGAGAGCACCGTTAGGAATCCGAACCTCGGCTCAGGCCGTCGTAATTTCGGTCCCCGTTTGAATTGGACGGGGTATCGATCGTAGAGCACCGGTAGAAGGGTGAAAATTTAGATTTATATGTATGTTTTTAATGGCGAGTCATAAATAAGATAAAATATAAAATAAAAATCAATTGTAATGGACCATCCGTCCAGTGACTCCCGCACTCTTCATCTCGAATATGGGTAAAAGTAAAACTGAACCATAATCCTGCTAACGTAACATCTTAGTTCTGAACAGCAACGTTGAAAGGGCGAAATGTAAACATTCAAAACTCATCAAGTTTTAAAAATCTAAGCGAAGCCGGGGCGTAACATTAGTACAGATATAGATATAGTGATATTTTGCTAATTAAGGGATATATTCCAAAATAGATGGGGTGGCACTAAGACAATAATCACGTTAAGGCATTTACGCAGCATCATGTGTGCCGTGTGGCTTACCTTGCTTGTTTTCACCACCCGTATCGGCGAGTTCGGGTTAACTAGTGATGTGACATTGTCGATTAAATTAAATTAAAAACTATTATTGAATAGAATATTAAAAATAATAAAATAAAAATAATTAAAACGGTAAATATTTGTGCTGAGTCTGTGTTGAGAAACTCTTTTGATATATTTAAAGTTTTCTTGTATTCTCTAATCAAAATTATAAAAACAAAATTATATTATGTCACTTCACTCTCTACCATCTTACCATTAAATACATTTTTCCAGTCATAAATAGTTTTACTACATATTTCTACAACAGTCTGCTTATCGAATGAGTGGTGGAATAAATAAAAATTATGACAAAGAAATAGAAATAGAAATAATCTTTATTCAAATAAACTCATTACAAGCACTTTTGAATAGTCATATATTGATTCTACCACTCATTCGGAATGCAGATTCAACGCAAGAAGAATGAGCAAGAAACTTGTGTGTTGCTCTTTTGAATAGATGTTTTTTTATATAATAATTACAGTATAACAAGTAAGAGGCATGCGATAATCAGCATAGAAATCGCTACGCACTCACGTGACATGAAGTGCTTGTATTAATTTATTTCAATAAAGATAATTTCTATTTTATTTCTTAAAAAAAATTAATACAAACACATTTGAAAAATAACTTTTATATAATTCTACTCCAGGTCCCGACTGGGTTAATGGTTTAAGCTGGAGGGTTACCAGTGGAGGATGATAAAATGAGCATGTAATCAGTACCTACAGTTCGCCCATTTTGGCAAATGGCAATTTACCACGATAGTTTCCAGTGGGAACCGCGTGGAGGGCAATCAGAGTTTGTACATTGCTAGCAAATAGCCGATATTACTAACTCTCTATACCCGACCCTTCCCTTTGTTTTTTCTGCTTTTCGTGATAGGTATTTTTCCTGTTTTATAATTTTAAAAACGTTTCTGATTTAAGTAAAATAAGTAATGGATTATATTTTAATCGATATTAAACAGTGGCATCACTAAACCTGTCGACAGGGCAGCGGACCCTTGATATTGATGTTGTTTGC